GCCGCCACCGCGCTTTGCGCCGGCGCCGGCGGGTTCAAGCGCAAACCCTCCGCCTCACCGGGCCCGTGCACCGGGACCACGGCGCCCACGAGCGGCTCGGCCGCGCTTGCCGAATGGCTGCCGGCCGCGCCTGCGCGCCAGGTCAGACGTTAGCGGGCGACAGCTCATCTACAGGCGAGCAGGGCTGAAACACCTGGCGACGCGGCCGGGCCCAGCTTCTGCCGCTTGGCCCTGTGGCCGCTCGCCGGACCCTCCCGCAGATCGGACAGATTCTGGTACACCGACTTGCGCGGGGGTCCCGGAACCTTGCCGGCGATCGCCGGCTCGATGTGCTCCCGCCAGAAGCGCCACCACTCGCCGCTCCACCGCTTCTCCGAGGGGAAGTCCGCCATGCACTCGTCTTCCCGCTTGCCGTCCTTGTCGGTCCGCAGGTAGGCGTCGGGCGCGGCCCAGCAGGCGCAGTACTCGGGGATGAGCGGTACATCGGGCTGCGCCGCGGCGAGCCACGCGTTGATGGCTTGGACCCTTGCGTGGAAGCCGCCCTTCGCGTTCTTCGCGTCCGACAGCGTGATGGGGCGCTCGACTTGACCGATCACTGCCCCGCTCTCATCCTTCACATCTACGAGCACGGTCACCGGGCCCTTGAAGACCTCGCCTCTTTCGCAGCGGCGCGGGTTGGGCGCCCGCTCGAGCAGCGCGTCCACCGCGACGCCGACCGCCTGGTTGTAAGCCGCGGCTGGCGCTGCTGCTGCTGCTGCTGCGCTGCTGCTGCTCGCACGAGGGACCATGTCGACATCGCAGCGCGAATGTTTTTTCTTTTTGGGTTTCGTCCCCACCCCGTCGAGCCGTTTCTAAGCCTTTCCACCCACCCCACCACCCCGCGCCGTGGTTTCTTTGCTTCGCGGGCCGGCACCCCAGGTCAGCCGGGATCTAGGAAATTTTAGGTAAAATGACAATAAGGAAGCGCTGGACCGATGAGTGAGCGATGTCTCCAGTCCGCAGTCTGCCACCCACTTGGGATGACAGGAAGACGCACGCACCTCCACACCGCCCAGAACACCGCAGATTTGAGCGGGGCTCCTGTTCACACTCGTGTGTGGGCCCTTTCTTGGGGCCGCGCCTGCGGCGCGCCGTGGTTAAGATTTTCGCGGAAATCGCTTGGTAGGGTTTCTTTTTGCCACGTTTTCTTAATGCCCGCAACAGACTGTGGGACCACTGTAGGGACCAAAGCGCGAAGGACCACTTTTGGGTTAGGGACCGCGAGCGACAGGTTTGGGACCGATGCCACCACTCACGTCACTCGTCAGCGGACGGCCACCATCGTCGGGGCCGATATTCTTACTCGGGACCACAGAGAGCGGGAGTTGGTTTGTCGGGAGGGAGGGGCAGGCTGCTCACCCACGTGCACCGGGCCAGTGCTTGCACTTTGAATGCCGTGGGGCTCCTGCCCGTGTCCGGGTGTGGAGATGCGAGGGTCGCCCCCCCTTGCCCCACCACTTTGTGTGTGTGGAGAAATTTACCTTACCTTACCACAGAGAGCGCACAGACATCCCGCACACCCACCTCGCGCGTCGCAATGCGATCTCGGGCGACCTCGTTCGATCTCGTGCGATCTCGGACGGCCGCGCTTTCTTTTCGTGGTGGATTCGTGTGCTAGTGTGCGCCAGCCCTTGTTGTGCCAGAAAGAAAGAAAACAATCCAATGTTTGCGAATTCTTTTGTTGCGGTGTTAGTGCCAGTGCGCGCCAGTCCCGTGCCCAGTGTAAAAAAAGAAAGAAAACGGACAAGCCAAGGGAGGGATGGGAGGACGGCACGCCGCCACCACACAGGGATTTTAAGGAGAGCGCCCAGTTTTGTGCGAATGAACCTGAAAAATTCTTCTGTTGTTCGAGGGGCATGAGAGACGGCCGGTCAGGGGCGGCCGGCGCTCCCTCGGGCGCGGCAGCGGCAGCGGTGGACGCGCCGCTGCTCGGCCAGCGCGTCGTGCTCGGCGGGCTCTCTTCCCGCCCCGAGCTGAACGGGCAGCGGGGCGTGGCGCGGAGCTTCGAGGGCGGGCGGTACGCTGTGGCGCTCGAGGGAGGCGGCGAGAGCGTGCGGGTGCGGCCGGGTAATCTGTCGCCGGTGGTGTCGAGCAGTGCCGCGGCAGCCCCCGAAGCGGTCGTGGCAGCAGCGGAGCGAGGCGAGGAGGAGGCGGTGCTGGCGTGGCTCGACAGTGGCGGGCGGGCCGACGCGACGTACGAGAGAGGCAAGGCGAGCGGCTTCACGTTGCTGATGGGCGCCGCCAACAACGGCCACGAGCGGGTGGTCGAGTTGCTGCTGCGGCACGGCGCAGCGGTCAACCTGCAGAACAGCAACGGCGTCACCGCGCTGATGGCCGCCGCTGGAAACGGCCACGAGCGGGTGGTCGAGCTGCTGATGCGGCACGGCGCGGAGATCCACCGGCAGAACTGCACCGGCTGGACCGTGCTGATGGTCGCCGCCCACTACGGCCACGAGCGGGTGGTCGAGCTGCTGATGCGGCACGGCGCGGAGATCAACCTGCACAACAACAAAGGCGGCACCGCGCTGACGCTAGCCGCCGGCCACGGCCACGAGCGGGTGGTCGACTCGCTGATACGGCACGGCGCGGAGATCAACCAGCAGAACAGCGGCGGTGGCACCGCGCTGATGGCCGCCGCCGGCCAAGGCCACGAGCGGATGGTCGACTTGCTGATACGGCGCGGGGCGGAGGTCAACCTCCAGGAGAGCAAAGGCGGCACCGCGCTGATGTACGCCGTCCTCTTCGACCGACCCGCCGTCGTGCGGCGCTTGCTGCGGGCGGGCGCTGACACGGCGGCGCGCGCTGAGAACGGCAAGACGGCGCTGCAGTGGGCCAAGGAGAGGGGCCACGCCGAGTGCGTAAAGGTCTTGGCTGAGGCGGCGGCGGTGGCAGACGGCCGGGCAGGGCCGGGCGGCGCTTCCTCGGGCGCGGCAGCGGCAGCTGTGGACGCGCCGCTGCTCGGGCAGCGCGTCGTGCTCGGCGGGCTCTCTTCCCGTCCCGAGCTGAACGGGCAGCGGGGCGCGGCGGAGAGCTTCGAGGGCGGGCGGTACGCTGTGGCGCTCGAGGGCGGCGGCGAGAGCGTGCATGTGCAGCCGGGTAATCTGTCGCCGGCGGCGGCGGAGCGGGCGTCGAGCGGTGCCGCGGCAGCCCCCGATGCGGTCGTGGAAGTCTCCGATGAGGTCATCGCAGCGGCTCAGCGAGGCGAGGAGGAGGCGGTGCTGGCGTGGCTCGACAGTGGCGGGCGGGCCGACGCGACGTACAAGAGACACGGCGTGAGCGGCATCACGCTGCTGATGGGCGCCGCTACCAACGGCCACGAGCGGGTGGTCGAGCTACTGCTGCGGCGCGGCGCGGAGGTCGACCTGCAGAGCAGCGGCGGCGACACCGCGCTGATGGGCGCCGCTTACCAAGGCCACGAGCGGGTGGTCGAGTTGCTGATTCGGCACGGCGCGGACATCAGCCTGCAGAACAGCGGCGGCGGCAACGCGCTGATGCGCGCTGCCGGCAACGGCCACGAGTGGGTGGTCGAGCTGCTGATTCGGCACGGGGCTGAGATCAACCTGCAGATCAAAGGCTACACCGCGCTGATGGCCGCCGCCGGCCGAGGCCACGAGCGGGTGGTCGAGTTGCTGATACAGCACGGCGTGGAGCTCAACCTGCAGAACAGCGACAGTGTCACCGCGCTGATGACCGCCGCCTTCTTCGGCCACCCCGCCATCGTGCGGCGTTTGCTGCGGGCGGGCGCAGACGTTGCAGTGCGCGCTCCGGACGGCAAGACGGCGCTGGAGATGGCCAAGGAGAAGGGCCACGCCGAGTGCGTAAAGGTCTTGGCTGAGGCCGAGGCGGCGGCTGAGAAGGCGGCGACGGAGGCGGCGTGGGTTGCAGGGGCGGAGGCGAGGGAGGCGGAGAGAGCGGCGGCAGAGGCGGAGGCGGCGCGGCATGCCGAGGCGCTGCTGATGGAGGAGGAGGCGGAGAAGGAGGAGCGCGCCAAGGAGAGCAAGAAGGGCAAGAAGAAGAAGAAGAAGAAGAGCGGCGGCGGCGAGGCAGACAACGCGGCGCCTGGCCCCAGCGCCACCGCCGCTTTGCAGCCGCCACCACCGCCAGCCTCTCCTCCTCCGCCGGCCGACACAGCCGCCATTGCCGCGGCGGACGAGGCGCTGCAGCAGGCCGTGGCCGCTGGCTCGTACGAGGGCGTGGCCAGCGCGCTGGAGGCGTGCAGCGGCCTCGCGAGCCCGGCCGTGCTGGCGGCGGCGAGGCGCGCGCGCGACAAGCTCAAGGAGGCGCGGAGGCGGGACAGCCAGCGTCTGCGCAAGGCGCATGGCGCGGCGATGGGCGCGCTCAAGTCGCTCGAAACAGCGGACAGCCCCTCCGCGCTCCGAGCGGGCATCGCCGCCGCCAGGCCGCACGTGGGCGCGCTGCCTGCTTTGGCCGAGGAGGTGAGCGCGGCGGAGTCGAAGCTGGGAGAGCTGTCTGTCGCCCCGGGGGCCGCCGAGCCGGCCGCGGCGGAGGAGGCGGCTGTTGCTCGGCCAGTCGAGATAGCCCTGTCGGATCTCACCGCGGCTACCGACGGGTTCGCCGACGGGAAGCTGATTGGCAGCGGCGGCTTCAGCCACGTCTACGAGGCGTCGGCCGACCTCCACCTCTCCCTCGCCGCGCCTCCGCAGCTGCGCCACTTGCCGCTCGTCGTCAAGCGGGCAAAGTCGGGCCAGTCGGGCGGCTTGTCGCGGGCGGAGCTCGAGGTGAAGCTGCTCAAGGCGGTGAGCCACCCGCACCTGCTGCCGCTGCTCGGCTATTGCCTCTCGCCCGACGGCGTCTGCCTCCTCTCGCCGCTGATGCGCGGCGGCTCGCTCGAGGCGCGGCTGCGCCTCTCGGATCCCGACCGCGCGGCGCAGCTCCGGCGGCTGGGCATGGAAGAGCCGCCGAGGCCGCTGACGTGGCGGCAGCGCGTGCGTATCGCATGCGAGGCGACCGAGGCGCTCGTCTACCTCCACTCGAAGGGCATCGTGCACCGCGACGTCAAGCCGGACAACATCCTGCTCGACGAGAAGCTGACCGCAGTATTGGCTGACACTGGCTTCGCCAAGGACCAGCGGCCGGACGCTTCTGTCCGCTGCCGCTCGACCGCCCTCTACATGTCCACTGGCTACCTCTGCCCCTCCATCTCCAAGGGGGGCGAGTACTCGAGCAAGACGGACGGCTACGCCATCGGCATCACCCTCCTCGTCTGCCTCACCAACCGGTCCGAGGTGCAGCTCACCGACCGGTGCGAGGAGGAGTTTGACGGACTCTGGACCAACATCGACGCGTCGAAGATTGCAGACGCGGCGGCGGGGTGGACCGCCGCTGCTGCGCGCGCGGTCAAGGACCTCGCGCAGGCGGGGGACGGGCAGAAGAGCCTCTGCCACAACAGCTTGCGCAACCGCTGCACGCTGCCCGGGGCGCTCACGACGCTGCGGGCGCTGCTGTCTAGCGGTGCGGGGGCGGAGGAGGCTGCACCGGCACTTGGAGACGAGGCCGCCACCGCAGCCGCTCGGACCACCGGCTACGAGCCTTCGCCGCTCTCGGTGCAGGTGCGCGGCATGCGCACGGGCGGCGACGCGCAGGCGCGCATTCAGGGCAACATGCTGCTCGCCTTCAACACGCTGATGCCGCGCCTCGATGCTGTTTACGCCGCGCGCTCTGCGGCGGCGCCCGACGGCTTCGAGGAGCGCATCAACTTTTGGCACCGCGAGTGCGGATTGCCGACCGAGCTGCGGAGCCAGCTGCACTCGCTGCGCATCTGGGCGAACGCGGCGAGGCACCACGACGCGGCGAGGTGGCGGAGGGACGGGCCGCGGAGCGAGGGGGAGGCGTCGCGGCTCGTGGCGGCGGTGACGGAGGCGATCGGGGCGCTCGAGGGGTAATACTTGTGTACGAAGTACGAGACTCGAGGTAGAGCTAGGTACCCATTTATGATACACCGTCGATGTGTAAAAGCTAGCCCCGTTCAGAGAAAGGAGGTAAAGAGCCGCCCCCTCTCTGGCGCTCGTGGCTCTGCGCGGGCCGCGGCGCGTCTAATGTATGCCTGCGGCGTGCTAGCGCTCGCGTGTCGTCGTGCGTGTGTGCCCACCCCCACCGCGGCTGCGCTCCCACCCTCCGGCTCCGCCTCGGCCGCCAGCCGAACCAGCCACCGCTACTATAGGGGGTGCGCGACGTAGAGACCGCTACGGCCCTGCGGTGAGCTTCGGCTTCTTGACCTCCGAGCGAGGAGTCCTCTCCTCCGGCGGCGGCGCCTCCTCCGCCGCCGCCGCGCAGCCCGCCGCCGCCGCCGCGCAGCCCGCCGCCGCCGACTCGGCCGGCCCGGCCTCTGCCCCCTCCTCGTCGACCGCGTCCACCGTGGCGGCGAGGAGGGGTCCGAGGGGCAGCGCGAGCAGCTCCGCGTGGAAGGAGGCTGGAGCGCCGCTCGCCTGTGCGTGGAGGGGGGGGAGGGGGGTTTGCTCCGTGCCGGAGCCGTGCCTGCTGCTGCTACTTCTCCGCCTCCTCCTCCTCCTCCTCCTCCTCCTGCTGCTGCTGCTACTGCTGCTGCTGCTGCTGCTGCTGCTGCTGCTACTGCTACTGCTGCTGCTGCTGCTACTGCTGCTGCTGCTGCTGCTGCTGCTGCTGCTGCTGCTGCTGCTGCTACTGTCCTCGCTTCTTCGAATCATCTCCCATCTACGAGGAAAGGGTGGAGCGCCGCTCGCCTCGTCGATCGGCCCGCTCGAGCCACCGAAGACGAGCAGCGTGCCGGCGGACGTGGCGGCGACGCCGGCGCTGCTGCGCGCGAGCGGTGGAGCGCGCGGGGAGGGGAGGTGGGCGGGCACCTCTGCCCACGCTAGCGACGACGCGTCGAGGAGGTGGAGGTCTCCGAGCGGAGTCGAGGCGGAGTCGAGGCCGCCGAACACCGCGGCAAGCGGCCGCCCGCCCGGAGAGGCGAGGGGCGCGACGCCGTGGAAGGAGCGCGCGCAAGGCCGCCTGCCGGAAAGGTCCAGGACAGGTCCAGGACAGGTCCAGGACAGGTCCAGGACAGGTCCGGGACAGGTCGAGAGGAAAGGTCGAGAGGAAAGGTCTAGGAAGGGAGCGCAAGGCGGCCAGCCCGCGAGACAGACAGGGGGCAGAGGCCGACGCACGGGCAGGGGAGACATGGACATGGGGGAGATCTGGGGAGATCTGGATCTGCGTCCCGCATCGAGGCTCCGAGAGATGGGGAGAGAGATGGGGAGATGTGGGGAGGTTTGGATGGCGGCCTGCCCGCGAGCACAGGCTCGCGCCAGCGGCCCGCAGCCACGTCGAGCAGCCACGCGTCGTTCGTCCGGCCGGTGGCGGTGCGGCCGCCAAAGACGAAGAGCGCGCCCGCGCCGTCCTCGCCGCCGCCCAGCCAGCACGCGCCGTGCGCCGCCCGCCCCGCCGGCCGCAGCTCGCTCTGAGCGAGCGAGCGCCAGCGGCCAGGCCCGTCGAGCTCTAGCACGTGCACGTCGCCGAACCAGCCCAGCTTGATGGCGGGCCCGCGCGCCTTCTTCTCCCTCCTCTCCCTCCGCCGCCGCGCCGCCGCCGTCCGCGCGAGCTTGTCGGCGAGAGACAGCGGCGCATCCGGCTGGGCCTCCTGCTCCTCCTGCTCCTCCTGCTCCTCCTCCTCCTCCTCCTCGTCGTCGTCGTCGTCGTCGTCCTCGCCGCCGGGGGGCACCACCCCGAAGCCGCCAAACACCACCATGCTCCAGCACGAGGAGGAACCCGCCGTCGGTGGAACCGCGACGGCAGAGTGCTTGTCGCGCGCGCTCGGAGGCTCGCCGGCGAGGTCGAGGCGCGTCCAGTCGAGCACGCGCTCGCCGCCGGCGGCGCCGCCCACGCGCAGCAGCGCCGTGTCGTTCCGGAACCCGCGCTCCTCGCACAGCCCGCCGTGCACCAGGATGCCCACGCCAGGCACCGCCGCTGCAGAGTGGCCGCTCCTCGCAGAGGGAGGCTCTCCGCCCGGCGAGACGGCGGCCCACCCGCGCCCTCCCGCAGCGTCGTAGACGCCGACGTCGTTGTGGGGACCCTCAGCGCCCCGGCCGCCCACCACGTACAGGCACTCACCGCCTGCGTCTGACGAGGTCACCGCGACGGTCTCGCGCCCGCTCGGCTTGTGCGCCTCGTCGCCGGCGCCGGCCTGCCAAGCGAGCTGGCCCGAAGCGGCAGCGATGCGCGCGCCCAACTTCGACTCGGCGTCGGCACCGCCAGGCTCGGCGCTTTGGGACTGCTCTGCGCCCATGGAGGTGGCCGCAGTTTTGGCGGGAGCGAACGTTGAAAAGAACCGAGTTCTCAGAGTAGAGGGGGCGCTCCGCTGCTAGGGGAAACCTGGAGCGCGGACTAACCCTCGGAGAGTATTCTCTAGCTCCGAGTAGAGGGGGCGTTCTGCTGCTAGGGGAAACCCGGAGCGCGGAGCTAACCCTCGGAGAACCGTGTTATGGCCCTGCGACCGCGCACCCCCCAGGGCTAGGGCTCTCTTGCCCGTAACCCGATGCCGAGCGTCCGGCCAACTGGGTGCGCTTCTCAGCTCCCCGGTCCTGGGCGTGAGGTTACTGACTGCACTCCAAGTGCTCCAAGTGCTCAGGAGGAGGGCAGAGTTACGCCGAGAGGCGAGAGCAAGGGATCGGCAGGCAGCGGCGTAGCTCCCCGGCCGGCCCTCGCGCCCCGTTGACGGTCAAGACCTTGCTGAAAAGCAAAAAAGAAAAACGAATCATGCAAAAAGCTCTACACGAAGACCGTCGAACGCCGTAATTTCATGCACCTCCCTGCGCCGACTTAGCCCTCAGAGCCCACTCACATATCTCCGCCGGGGTCGATGCCGCCGCCGCTCACGAGGCTCGGCAGGGCAACCGCAGCCGCCCATGCTGGCTCATCAGCGCGCGGCCGTGGAGCTTGAACCCTTCCCGCCCGCTCACCGCATCTCGAATCACCCCCTCCCCCTCGTCGCCCAAAGCCAAACCGTTGAAGCGATGATCGAGGGTGGTCAGCACCCTGCTGAAAAGGTAAAAAAGTCACGCAACCACCAGTCATTTAATGCACCGCCCCCCTGCGCCGTCCACTCGACCAGAATTCACACTCACATCTTGAGCTCAAACCCTACCCGCCCACTCACCGCATCCCGAATCACTCCCTTCCCCTCGTCGCCCAGAGAGAACGACGAGAGTGGGACGACCGCGAGGTGGCATGAAGGTTGAAGAGAGATAGAAAGAGGCAGACGCCCAAGGGTGGGCGACGGCTAGCACCACATACGGCCAGGCCCTTTCGGCCGAAAGGGCCTGCCGCACCACACTCCTCTCCTGTGTGGTGGCGGCGTGCCGTCCTCCCATCCCTCCCTTCACCCTTGCGCCTTGGGTTGTCTGCTTACCGTGTTTTCTTTCTTTCTTTCCCTGTCCTTCTCCCATCGCTCGTTTTTGGTTTGTCTTTTTCTTTCTTTCTTTTCCGATGTGATGTCTGGGCTCTGGCCCGCTGCGCGCTGGGTGCGCTTCTAAGCTCCCCGTGCACGGCTCTGGATGTGCGGTTACTGACTGCACTCCAAGTGCTCCAAGTGCTAGGTATACTCGAAAAATTCCTAGTTTTGTGTGCGCGCACAAAGGCGCAGAAAATGCCCCCGGCTGCACGCGAAATCTCTCTCATTGCGGCACCTTGGACGCGTCGCCGCCAGCCTGCAAGTAGAAGCCGACGGGCCCGGAGTAGCCGCCGCCGCCGCTGAGCTTCTGCTCGACGGTGATCCTCGAGATGGTCTGCAGCCCGCTGCCCGAGGCAAAGTTGAGCGTGATCTTCTCGGGGTCGTTGCTGCACGCGACGGGAGGGCTCTTCGCCGAGACGGGCGGCACGCCTGCGGCGAGGTTGGGGAGGGGCACACCACACGGGCTACCTAAGACACCGGCTGGTGCGTGGAAGGCAGTGGCACGCGGCAGAATGCGCGCGGCCGGCCGAGTGCTCGTGGCAGTGGCGATGTGTTGCGTAGCAGCGGCGCTCCTGGCAGCGGCGAGTACGGTGCGCCCGAGTGGGTGCCTGCTCACAGAAGGTTGCGTGAAGCGACGCTCCCCTCGCGCACCCGTGCCGCCGCCTGTGCTGCTCGTGCTCACAACTCGCGCCCGTGCCCAGGCGTGTGTCCCACCGCTGCCTCCCGTCTATCTGTCGGTCTGTCGGTCTTCCCTTGACGACGGCGGTCCAGACGACGATGTTTGGGCTGTCTGCGTACGCGATCGGGCCACTGCGGGTGTACGTGAAGTCCGGGAAGGACTTGAGCAGGTCGGCCGTCACGGCGAGGTACGCCTGACCGGCACAAGGAGGCAGATGAGCAGCAGGCGTGTATGGAGGGAGAGAGGTGGACGGCGAGAGGCGGAGAGGCGGAGGCGGCCCATGCCTGCTTGTCGAGCTTCACCTTGCCGCCCTCAAACACCGCCTGGAAGTCGTCCGCCAGATGCTGCTCGTACCACTTCAGCAGGCCGCCGTCAGGAAGGTAGCCGTCAAAGACCTCGCGCAAAAGCGTGATTCCGCTGTTGGGTCGGAGCGGATCGGCCTTGACCGGCTTCAGGTTCGTGGCGCCCGAAGACCCGCCCATTGAATATGCGCCGATCGGATCAAAAATAAGTCCAGCAGACGCCGGGATCGGGACGGCAACGGCGGCCGCAGCGCCTCCGATCGCCACATCCCGGCGCGTCGCCGGGATCTTGAACGCCAGGTAAGACGAGAGAATGGCAAGCGACATTAGCGGATTGATGAAAAAGCGGGAGGCACCACTTTTGGTTCGGCTCCTTGCCGCCTAGGGTATCCTGCGCGGAAAAGACGAGATTTTGTGTAACCACAGCTCCGTGCCGCCTAGGGTAATCTGTACGAGCCTGTGGGCGTGTTGAGTATATGAGCGACCCACCTCGAGGGTTGCTCCCGACTCTGGCCTTTTCTGGGTCACGTAGCCACACCTCGCTCCTTGGTGCGAGTGGCTGCCAGTTCGACTCTGGGGAGGATCGAACCATCAACATGGTACCTCCGGTGAGATCTCCCAGGTCGACGGCGGTCTGGGAAGATTTGAGTCCCTTCGTGTGAGAGAGATTTTTAAAGACCAACAAGAAATCACGCCTCTCACAGTGATTTGGGCTCGGCAGCTTGTTAGCCCTCAGCCGAAGCTGGGGCCGGTCCCGTAGCCGAGAGAGCCCGCGCCGATGAGTTCGACGCGGTCGGGGGGGCCTGCGAAGAGGCCAGCGAGATGGCGATCGCTGTACTTCAAGGGGGTCATCAAGTGACCGCGGCTGACAAGCCAGAGGTCGATACTCTGGACGACCCATAGGATGCCACGAATGCCTGAAGGAGAGGGAGGCGAGGCCAGATTCGTGTGTAGCTACGAAAAAGATCGAAAATAGTGCCCAAGGTAACCCGGGGGAACTCGCGTCCCGGAACCTCTGCCCTACCTCGAAACACGGCGGTATCGGATATACAGCAGCAACCTCGTGCTGTGTCGTGGGGGCGTGTTGAGTATATGAGCGACCCACCTCGAGGGTCGTTGCTCCCGACTCTGGCCTTTTCTGGGTCACGTAGCCACACCTCGCCTCCTTGGTGCGAGTGGCTGCCAGTTGAGCTCGGTCATCCGTGCAAGCAAAACATCGCTGCCTGGAAGGAACGGGTTGGCGTCACCGGGACAGACACAGGGGCTTGGGACTCGCACATCTATGGGCTCTGCGCGAAGCTGAAGCCCACCTCCACTTCCAAGCGGCCGCTGGCCTCAGGAGGCAGCAGCGGTGGCGGCGGCGGCCCGCCGTCTGAGTCCACCGAGCCCGCCGCCAAGGCGAAGAAGACGCCGTTCACGGCCGATGAGAACGCACTCTACCTCACGCTCCTGCGGCGGCACGGCCGGCCGTTGAAGAAGAACGCGGAGGCGTGGGCGGCCTTTCGGAACGCCTTCCCGAAACGCGTGAGCGACTCGTGGGCCGGGCACATGCAGCACTTTACGACGGACGAGGCGGGTGAGTGGGTGGTGAAGAAGGGGGTCGACTGAAGGCTTGCGCTGGCCTCTCGCCTGTCCAGAGACTGCGCGCGCGCCAGGGGCGGGTGGGCGACGTGCCGCCTGCTTCCTCGCTTCGACTGACTGAATGGCATGTGATCTGTGATCTGTGAGGGTCCGCCCGCAGGCGCATTTTGTATACCGAGGCGGTGCCCGGTGCCGAACCTGTCGGACCTTGAGACAGCATGTAGATCCCTGGGCGAGGGTGATGGCGTCCCCGTCGGGTCAGGGCTGAAGGCGGGGGAGACCAACCCGATCTCTCCGGCGTCCCGGGAGCGTGATTGACACCTCCCCCTGCGCCAACAGCCCCGTGGAGGTATGTGCTACGTAGTTTGCTTGTGCATGTGGATTATTATGGTGCTCCTCGTCTCCGTCTGTCTGTCTGCTCTGGCGCCGTAATAAATAAATAAAACGGACACGCCAAACGAGGGGTGGGAGAGGATTTTGGAACGGAACGGGAGCGGGGAGCGCACACGCGACACGGAGGGGGCCCACACGACAGGGTCCCAGGGATTCCCCTCTCGTATAGGACAAAGTTGCACCCGGCGGCACGGGGGCAGGCGCGGGCCTCCTACTCCTTCCTACAGGTTGCGCTCTCCTAGTTCTCCTGCTTGCTCCTGACAAAAGGGACAGCGACAGGTTCGCAGCTCTGGCGCCGTTCTTCCTGCGATTTTTCGACGCTCGTTGCAAATTCTTTTTCGCACAACAATTAATTCGAAAAATTCTTTTTCGAATTACAATAATGCACGTTGCCCACATCGAAGATCGAACACTGCTCTAAGTTTGCCAAAACGACCTCCTGCGACGCGCGTAGGCGAGGCGCAGCAGTCGCATGGACATTCCGCCGCAAGATCTGGTCGCACCGAGTGTACGACGAGCCGGATGCAGGGCACGCTCCCTGGCCCTCGTCGCTATTGGCCTGCTCCCCTTCCTGATACGCGGCCTGCCATTGGTGTTCAACGCCGCGGTGCCGGCGCTGGTTGGCCAAGACAGTGAAGGGGATGCACCCTCTGATGCGACGGCAACTCTGGCAGCAGGCTTAGCGTCTACACGAGCGACATTTGATGGCAAACCTGCGGAGCATGTCGCCGAGGTGAAGGCTGTGGCGACAGCTGCGGCACAGGCGGCGTTGGAGTCGGGGCTGGTCGAGAGTGCTGCCGTCGCAGCTGGTCGCGCGGCTGGCGCCGCTGTAGAGGCGTGCAAGACCGTCGAAGAAGCCATGGAGGCGGGCCGACAGGTGGGACTAGGCTCGCAACAGTCCGTCGACCTTGCGGCTGAGTCTGGGCAGGTGGGCCAATCGGGGACGAGGCTCGCAACAGTCTTCAATGAGGCGGCGATCGAAGCGCTCGACATCGGTCTCGACACCCCTGAGGCGGTGCGAGCTGGGACTATTGCCTTTGAAGCATCACAGGAGGCCATTGCTGCTGGGACCGACGCCAACGTCGCCGGCACGGTTGCAGGCATGATAATCCACCAAGGCTTGACAGACACGCAGGCGCTGCGAGTCGGCGAGTCAGGAGGAGTACGAGGCGGCGGCGGCGATCCAGTTCAAGTCGCCCGGCTTCGCCAAGGACGAGTCTGGCTCGCTGACTGAGGAGGGCGGGCTGGCCATCTCGGACGCGCTGCTGTCGTCGGTGGTCTGCCCCGGCGGCACGGCCGCAGCGGCGCAGCCGACGGCGGCAGCGTCGGCCCGAAGCGCGGCTGGCGCCGACTCGGTCGAGCCTCTTCCTGCACTGCCGACGACTACCTTCCCCCTTCCTCCTCCTCCTCCCCCCCCTGCCGCCGGCGGCGCTGCCACCCTGCCCGCCGCTGCACGGAATGTTGACGACGAAGACGGTAATGATGATGATGATGATGGTAACGATGATGGGCCCGAGGGAGTCAAGGCTGCGGCTGCGGCTGCTGATGCGATCGCCAAGGGCATACTGCCGGAGGAGGCGATAGCCCTCCTCAGGGAAGCCCTCGGCAACATCACCTGTGGGGAGGCGGCAACCTCTACGATGCTATCTCCGCCGCCAGGTTGCCGCCTCACTTGTGGAGAGGCAGCAGCCTCTACCACGCCATTCCCGCCGCCGCCACCACTCTACTTTGGTCTCTCCGCGATAGACCTTTGGGAGACGGTCCAGCTCTATCATGGAAAGGGGCGAAAGGTGCCAGTGACCGAGTCGGTTTGGGAGAACGCCTCGTGGGCTTTCTTCAACGCCACCTTTGGCGGGACCATGTCAGAAGCTGTCTTCCGGGAAGCTGCAGCAATCGAGTTCAAGGCTTCAGTATTCGAGAAGGATAGTTTCGGCGCCTTGACCCAGCAAGGAGGAGCTCAGATATGTGAAGCATTCCTGAAGACCCTCGACCACATTGCGGACCCTGCCAATCCGCAATCCTAGCATCTCTTGCATCCATCCCCGCTGTTCTCCCGGTTTGTAATGTGGGAGTTCTGACATATATAAAATACAGCCACTCTCATAGCAAAGCTCACTGACACGACAAGGGCGTAGGGCGAGGACGACACAAGGCTGTATGTATGTAGGAAGGTGAAGAACAGCCAGGCTCGGACTGGACACCAACGCGGTATGGGTGGACGCAGAGGCATTTTTTCGGTAAAATTACACTGTGAAAAAGACAGAAAAAGAGAGAAACACGCGCGCGCAGCGCGCGTAGGCGGCGCGCAGCGCCGCCGCAGGCGGCGGACAGCAGTGCGCAAAATTAAACGCCATTTTCGGTTCCGCGGTTTTGCCACTAACATCACATGTCGGGATGATTGATTGATTCGACTACATGCCCGCCATGCGCAGGCCAGCGCCGCGCTGTGATACGCATAGAGACGACCCGACCTCTCTGAACTAAGCCAGATTACTGCGAACGAACGCGTAGCGCGCGGCGGGGAAGTCAACGGGGCAGCCGGCGGCGGCCGGCCGCGCCCGAGGCGCGAGGGCGTAGACGGCTCACAAATTGCCCGGGACGGCTGGTCACTTGGTCTCTGACGTAGGCCACGCACATGCACATTAAGCGGTGACATGACCTGATTGTTAAAAGAGCCGGTCCGCGAAATTAAATGCCATTCTCAAGGTATCCATTTTAGCACTATCTTCGAAATCCCGGCCGGTACTGTTTTAAGAATGAGTGAAAGAGGTTGTTGGTGTTGTCTCTGAAAGAAACGGGCTCGGCTGCGCCTGGGTTCGGAGCTTCAACGCCGGCCATCGCGCCGACAAAAAGGCGGCAAGTGCCGGGAGGTGCACAGGGGCTTCGGCGAGAGCGTCGATGCCTTGAGTTGCGTGCTAATTGCCGGGGGCTGCACCGCCGTGTACATCAAGAAGAACTTGCAGATGTGCAAACTGTGTGTAAGCCGTTTTGTGACGGCGGCGAGGGCGACACGGACGGAGCAGGCGACAAAGGCGAATCCGACGGCGGAGGCGGCGACGGCGACACGGACGGAGGCGGCGAAAGCGAGACCGATGGCGGCGACGGCGACGGCAAGCGAGCTTGCTGCGGGGAGGGCGAGACGGAGGAAGGCAGCGGCGACGGCGACACGGACGGAGGCGGCGACGGCGACACGGACGGAGGCGGCGACGGCGACACGGACGGAGGCGGCGACGGCAACACGGACGGAGGCGGCGACGGCGACACGGACGGAGGCGGCGACGGCGACACGGACGGAGGCGGCGAAGTCGACACGACCGACGGCGGCGGGGAGAGCGATTCCAACGGCGGCGGCGGCGACGGCGACAAGGACAGAGGCGGCGAAAGCGAGACCGACGGCGGCGACGGCGACGGCGACATGGATTGAGGCGGCAAAGGTGAGATCGGCGGCGGGGATGGCGAAACGGAGGAAGGCAGCGGCGACGGCGACACGGACGGAGGCGGCGAAGGCGACGGCGAGACCGACGGCACGGCGGGGAGGGTGAGGCCGACGGCGGCAGCGGGGAGGAGTGCGGCGGCAACGGCAGCGGTGAGGGCGGCGGCGACGGCGGAGGAGAGAGCGGCGGAGAGGGCGGTTGAGAAGGCCGCGGGGAGGGTGGCGGAGAGGGCGGTGGAGGCGAGGGCGGCGGCGACGGCGGAGGAGAGCGCGGAGGCGACAGTGGCGGAGAGGGCGGCGAGGAGGGTGGCGAAATCGCAATAATTCACCTGCGGGAACCGGGACGGCGGGGAGGTGGCGGGACCGAATCGTGCCGGGGCCGCCGGGCAGCGGCCATACCCGCTCGGCGGAGGCAGGGCTCAGAATCGGTTGTTCAGGCCACAAGGCTGGTGAGTTGGGCGTGACCGTCATCTATAGAACGCGCCCGCTCGGAAGTCGGTCTGCGGAAGGTAACGACGATTCGGCTAGGCGTCTGCGGAGGCAAAGAAAGGGCGGGCTGGCGATCCGCAACGAGGCCTGTTTGTCGCGGTCGGACAGGCACCCGTCGCATCTGTGGACAGGTGTGACGACGGCAGTGACGAGTTGCGGCGCAGCCGCGCACGGGGTCCCGCCGTCAGCGGCCACACAGGCAAGAGCGGCACAGCATGAGTCGGGGGGGTGTCGGGGCACGACGAGGGTTGCTTCGGCTGGCGCTCGGAGGCCACCAGGCGGCCCCATTTGATGTCCGGGAGGTGCCTCCCGGACGCCTCCCGGACAGCTAACGTGCAGAGCATCGAATAGACGCCTTATAGCCAAAAAAGAAGCCCGACGCGGCAAAAAGAGAAAGAGTTTAGACAAAACAACTCTCTCTCACAGCAGACAGGCTCGACACAGGTGCGAACTGGCGCGTGCTAGTACTATCAAAGAGAAAGAGAGGACAAAGTTAGGTGGCGACTGTGGCCATGGTGCACGCGGGCGAGAAGGGGAGCGACTCAGCGCCGCTGCTCGGGCAGCGCGTCGTGCTCGGCGGCCTCTCTTCCCGTCCCGAGCTGAACGGGCAGCGGGGCGTGGCGCGGAGCTTCGAGGGCGGGCGGTACGCTGTGGCGCTCGAGGGCGGCGGCGAGAGCGTGCGGGTGCGGCCGGGTAATCTGTCGCCGGCTGCGGCGGAGTGGGCGTCGAGCGGTGTCGTGGCAGCCTCCGATGCGGTCATCGCAGCGGCTCATCGAGGCGAGGCGGCGGCGGTGCTGGCGTGGCTCGACAGTGGCGGGCGGGTCGACGCGACATACGAGAGAGGCGGCGTGAGCGGCCTCACGCTGCTGATGGGCGACGTCCGCTACGGCCACGAGCGGGTGGTCGAGCTGCTGCTGCGGCACGGCGCTGAGATCAACCTGCAGAACAGTGGCGGCCTCACCGCGCTGATGTACGCCGCCCAGGAAGGCCACGAGCGGGTGGTCGAGCTGCTGCTGCGGCACGGGGCTAAGGTCAACCGGCAGGACAGCAAAGGCTACACCGCGCTGATGTTGACCGCCGGCCAAGGCTACGAGCGGGTGGTCGATTTGGTGATACGGCACGGCGCGGAGCTCAACCTGCAGGACAGCGACGGCGTCACTGCGCTGATGACCGCCGCCCTCCTCAACCGCCCCGCCGTCGTGCGGCGCTTGCTGCGGGCGGGCGCAGACACGGCGGCGCGCAATGTACGCGGCAGCACGGCGCTGCAGTGGGCCAAGGAGAAGGGCCACGCCGAGTGCGTCGAGGCCTTCAAGAAGCACTTTCAGGAGGTGGTGGCGGGACGGCCCGCGGCGACGGCAGCCGGCGGCAGAGGCGCAGGCGGCGCTTCCCCCGGCGGCGCTTCCTCGGCTGGATCGAGAGTCGCGAAGACGCCACCTCCAGCGGCGGCGGCGGGGCGGGCGTCGAGCGGTGGCGCGGCAGCCTCCGATGCGATCGTGGCTGCGGCTGGGCGAGGCGAGGAGGCGGCGATACTGGAGTGGCTTGAGGGCGGCGGGCGGGTCGACGCGACGTACGAGAGACGCGGCGTGAGCGGCCTCACGCTGCTGATGAGTGCCGCCATGCACGGCCACGAGCGGGTGGTTGAGCTGCTGTTGCGGCGCAGCGCGGAGATCAACCTGCAGAACAGCAAAGGCAGCACCGCGCTGATGCACGCCGCCCACCAAGGCCACGAGCGGGTGGTCGAGTTGCTGCTGCAGCACGGCGCTGAGATCAACCAGCAGAACAGCTTCGGTGGCACCGCGCTGATGCACGCCGCCAGCTACGGCCACGAGCGGGTGGTCGACTTGCTGCTGCGGCACGGCGCTGAGGTCAACCTGCAGGACAGCGACGGCGACACCGCGCTGATGCTCGCCGCCGTCTTCAACCACCCCGCTGTCGTGCGGCGTTTGCTGCGGGCGGGCGCAGACACCGCGGCGCGCAATGCGAGCGGCAAGACGGCGCTTCAGTCGGCCAAGGAGATGGGCCACGCCGAGTGCGTCAATGTCCTGTCGGAGGCGGTGGCAGCGGCGGAGGGCCGGGCAGGGGCGGGCGGCGCTTCCTCGGGCGCGGCAGCGGCAGCGGTGGACGCGCCGCTGCTCGGCCAGCGCGTCGTGCTCGGCGGGCTCTCCTCCCGCCCCGAGCTGAACGGGAGGCGGGGCGTGGCGCAGAGCTTCGAGGGCGGGCGGTACGCTGTGTCGCTCGAGGGCGGCGGCGAGAGCGTGCGGGTGCGGCCGGGTAATCTGTCGCCGGCTGCGGCGGGGCGGGCGTCGAGCGGTGCCGCGGCAGTCTCCGATGAGGTCATCGCAGCGGCTGAGCGAGGCGACGAGGCGGTGATACTGGAGTGGCTTAAGGGCGGCGGGCGGGCCGACGCAACGTACGAGAGACACGGCGTGAGCGGCCTCACGCTGCTGATGGGCGCCGCCTGCACAGGCCACGAGCGGGTGGTCGACTTGCTGCTGCGGCGCGGCGCTGACGTCAACCTGCAGGACAGCATCGGCATCACCGCGCTGATGTTCGCCACCAACTCGAACCACCCCGCCGTCGTGCGGCGCTTGCTGCGGGCTGGCGCAGATGCGGCGGCGCGCACCAATAAGGGCACGACGGCGCTTCAGTGGGCCAAGGAAAAGGGCCACGCCGAGTGCGTGCGCGCCCTCGAGGAGCACTCGTCGACCGTAGCAGAGGCTGAGGGGGAGACGGCGGTCGCAGAATCAGCCGAACAGGCCGCGGAGGCCGCACGCGAGGCGGCAGCGGCTGCGGAGGCGGCGGAGGCGCGCGATGCTGCCGAGGCGGCACTGCGCGAGGCGGTTGAGGCGTGCGAGCGAGGCGACGCCGATCTCGAGGCGCTCAGGGCGGCGATCAACGCGAACACCGAAGTCGCTGACGGCTCGGAGGCGTTGCGGGCGGCGCGGCGGCTGCGCGACGAGCTGGCCAAGCCGCTGAAGCGGCAGCGGCAGAAGGAGGAGAAGGCAGCGGCGGCGGCAGCGCGGGCGGCGGAGCGAGCGGCGGAGCAGGCGGAGGAGGCGCGGGCGGCTGAGGAGGTGCGAGTGGCGGAGGAAGCGGATCGGGTGGTAGCAGAGGCTGCGGCGGCGCGGGCGGCGGAGGAGGCGGAGGCGGCGTCGCGCGCAAGGGAGGAGGCAGAGGCGAGGGCGAGGGAGGAGGCGGCAAGG